TTGGGTTTTTTCCCTCCTCATTTTAGTCAGGTTTGCCAGGGGTCTGTCGATCTTGTTTATTTTTTCAAAGAGCCAACTTTTTGTTTCATTAATTCTTTGTATGGTTTTTTTGGTTTCTATTTCGTTGATTTCAGCTCTTATTTTTATTATTTCTCTCCTTCTATTTGTTTTGGGATTTGTTTGTTCTTGTTTTTCTAGGAGTTTGAGATGTATCATTAGGTCTTTGATTTGAGATCTTCCAGTCTTTTTAATATATGAACTCATGGCTATAAACTTTCCTCTCAGGACTGCCTTTGCTGTGTCCCATAGGTTCCAGTAGGTTGTATTTTCATTTTCATTGACTTCCAGGAACCTTTTAATTTCCTCTTTTATTTCATCAATGACCCATTGTTCGTTAAGCAATGAGTTGTTCAGTTTCCAGCTCTTTGCATATTTTTTGTCTTTATTTTTGTTGTTGAGTTCTAGTTTTAATGCATTGTGATCATATAGAATGCATGATATAATTTCTATTTTCTTATATTTGCTGAGGCTTGCTTTGTGTCCTAGGATATGATCTATTTTGGAGAAGGTTCTGTGGGCTGCTGAGAAAAATGTATATTGTGTAGAATTTAGATGAAATGTTCTGTAGACATCAACTAGGTCCATTTGATCTATGGTATGTTTTAGATCTAGGATTTTTTTATTGATTTTTTGTTTGGATGACCTATATATTGATGATAGTGGGTGTTAAAGTCTCCCACTACCACTGTGTTGGAGTTAATATTTGCTTTTACGTCCTTCAGGGTATGTTTGATGAAACTGGGTGCATTGACATTGGGTACATATAGGTTGATAATTGTTATTTCCTTTTGGTCTATTCCCTCCTACTTTTTCATTGAAACTGTAGAAAGGCCCTAAGAGAACTCTTGATTACACAGTCTAGTACACTCTTTTCAAGACTCAAACTCGTCTTGTGAGTTTCACAAAGAAGACTCACACAAGAAGCATTGTGTGAGGTACTTTCAGCCCTCTTGTAACTATCTACTTTCATAGTTTTCTGATAACCATTAATTTTTGTTCTCATGCTTCTGATTTCTCCCTCTCAGTATCTTTTCCTGGCTCTATTAACTCAATACTGGTCCTCTCCTTTGTTACTCACTCTGCTCTCATCAGCTACCCTGGGTGAGTTCCTTCACTTAAAGGGTCTCGAGGACTGCCTAGTCTTTAGTTGCAAGGCTGAACTCTCTACTTAGTTTTAGCCTAGATGTCTCATAGTGAGCTCAATGTCCGCATATTCAAACAACTCAACGTCTTGTCATTCTAATGTACTTCCTTCCTATAATTATCTTCCAACAGTGGCATCATTGTCTGTCCAAATACCTCAACTGGATACCTGAGTCACTTCCTACATTCACTACATAAATCCTGTAAATTTTACTTTTGAATAGTCCTTTCTACTTCTAGTTTTACTTCCAAATCAGGGTGCACATCATATTTTACCAGGACCAATGTAATGGGATTTTAAGTCATCTACCTAACTCTAAAAACTGCCTCCCCTCCCCCACAATCATCCTTCTAGTGCAACACAATTGTTTTTCTAAGAATAGCATCAGATAATGTGTGGCTCTTTTAATAGCATTCTATTAAAATGATAAAGTCCACAGACTTCGTCATGGCACAAGAGTCCCTCACAATTTGGTTCCAACTTTCTTTCTACTATATTTTTGGTCTAGCTCCGCATGTATCCTATGGTTAAGTGTAGTAGTTCTCCACTGAGGTCAACTACTCTCAAAGAACATTGTCTGGAAATACATTTGCTGCTACAATTAGATGAGAAGGAATGGTATGCACTACTGGTGGGTGGAGGTCAAAGACACTACTAAACATACTAAATATCCTAAAGAATCATCCAGCCTGAAACTGTCAACAGTGCTAAGGTAGAGAACTTTTTATGGTTCTCTAAGACATTGACAGTGGTTTAACAAAATGACCATACTTACATTATTCTTCATACACATATTAACTTCCATATTCCTACATCTGGTAAATTTACATCCACCTTTCAAAGACCATCTCCCATATTACAGTTCTGAAAATTCCATTATCACATTCTCCAGAGCTTTTATGAACCCTCATGGGGACTCTGGAAATGTACTTATCACTGAATCATAACAGTCACTTTTGAAACTACCAGTTTCTTGAAATTTTGTGATAGCATTTCTACTACCTAGAAGAATCATGTAGATAATAAATTCTTCCTAAATCATAAAAAATATTCAAATGTTACTAATGTTACTGAAATGTAGTTCCAGTTTTTCAGGAGACAAATCTACTAACAAGTAATGAGAGCTATAAGATTATTCCTCCTCATTGGGCCAGTAATTTCACATACAGCAAGAACTAGACAGAAAATATGTAATTTCTAAAAAATGAACATAGGTATTTATAGACCTAATAATTTACCCATTTCCTAGAAAAAACACTAATATGATGAGCAGAGTTGAACAGGATTCCTCTCTAATAGTCTTCAGTCCAGTGTCTTGGGACTCATGGTGAAATATGCCTCATCTGGTCACTGATCAGGACACACAAATTCAGCTTTAGAAGAACCCTCTCTTGGAATCCAGCCATGACCTTTGCATGACAATCCGTCCCCACCTCAAAACAAGATGGGCATTTGCTTTAAAATCATCATTATTTACAATTAAAAAAATGTAATAATCAAATTCTTAACACAGAAAATATTTAAGTAACTATGGTAAAGATATATGATAGAGTACCATATGAATACTTAAAGTCTCTAATATGTAGACAAGGTTTATAAATGGGAATATTTATACACAATAATGGTTTATGAAACAAATTCACAAAGCATTAGTGAATAGAAATTACAACTATATTAAAATGCATATGTACATATTAAACATATTCTAATATATACATAGTAGAAAATCTGAAGAACTGAAACATTCTAGATGTTCTTTTAAAAAAATTGCTTAAATTGATAAAAGCCAATATTCAGAATTAGCACCTACCAATCAATGACTCTGAATGATGTATATTATAACTATCTGAGAATACAGTTTAAAAATTTGATCACTATTCTACAAGTTACAGTAAGAGATATCCTGTATGTCTCCCACTGCATGAATGCTAGTGCATCCATATAAGGGTCAAAGAAGTAAGTTACTTGCTTGTTGTAATAGGTAGAATTTTAAGGATGACTCTTCCTAACCCTCAGTTCTCTTGGGATTTGTGAATATCAGACGAGATCACTCCCAATGATTACATTATGTTATATGGTAAAGGAGATCTTATAAATTGTGATTAAGGTCCCTAAGCAGCTGACTCTAGGGTAATTACAAGGGAAATTATTTGGGAAGGCCTAACCTAATTGGATCAGCCTTTAAAAAAATCAAAGAAATCTGAAGCAACAGAGAATGCACAAAAAGTTAGGGTCCATCCAGAAGAAAATTTGTAGCTTAAATGTTATAAGGACATTTAAAAAGACTGTAACAGGTTAATAAGCCATTTGCAAAGTATTGTTTTTGAGGGTGTTCTTAATTAAATTTCATGGGATAGCATATGCATTAATTACTTTTGCATATTTGTGGCCAAAATTCTTGAGGGAATGACTAAAAGTAGAAAACATTTACTTTGGCTCATGGATCCAGAGGGATCAGTCTATGGGCTCCGTGCACTTGAGCAGAGCATCACGGCAGTGAGAGCATATGGCAAAGGAAGCCATTCACCTCATGGTGGGCAGGAAGCAGAGGGGGACTACACGTAACATACAGCCCATACGAACACACCCCAGGGACCTATTTCCTCCTAAAGTTTCCACAACTTCCCAAAATACCACCTAGCTGTGGACCAGCCATTCAGAAACATGAGCCTGTGGAAGACAATGCATATTTAAATCACAACAGCTATTCTCTCCATGAGATTTGGGGATAACTTAACATTGTGCTATGATTCTGGTACTTGTGTATTTATTGTCTGTATTCACATAGCTCATTTTTAGGCTATATCATTTGTAAGGGCACCAAGATCTGTAAATTTATGATGAGAAAACATTTGTTAATTTTTCTAAAACAATCACTTTAAGTCTTTATTTCCTAATGCTTTCCTTCTATCTTTCCATATATATGTATATATACTCTAGGTTGATTTAGTATGAGAAAGTTGATTAATATAAGGTACCACAGTAACAAATTAGAGAAAAAAGTATGATTTTATTAGGTGCAAAATATATATATATATCTTACATACATACTAGTGCTAGCCAATGAATGAAAAAGTAATAAACTCTCTATTTAAAAGGAAAAAAAATCAGACTAGACTTTTTAAAAATGCAGTTATATGTGGTTTGCAAGAGGCATATGTGAGCATACAGATGTATATATATATGTACACAGAGAAAAAAATGTATGTATATATGTATACTATATGGAAAAAGACATAACTACCATATCAAACTAAATGAATGCTGGTTACACAGTATAAAAAATAAAGCATAAGCCAAAAATATAATTCACTAAGTAGCTCAAAATAATTCTCATTTTGTATGCATATAACAAAGCCCCTGAATATACAAAGCAAAAATTGACAGAATCTAAGGGAAAGTAAACAAATCCACCATCACAGTATCAGTTTTTAGCAAGTAGAAGATCAGGATAGGATGCTAAATGTTAGAAAGAATATAGGGAATTTAAAGAAAATAGTTGTAACATCTTGATTATTATGGATAGGCATGTAGTTGCTATTGCATTACATAACTGAATGCACTCAGAACATTAAATTTTTCTCATGTTCTAGGTCACAAAACCCAAATGCATACAAACCAGTTTCCAAACGAAATGCAACTGAGGTTGAAAAAAATAATTTCAATCTCATATAACTTTCATGGAACAGAAGAATGCCTGTGTCCTACTTAATTTTATGAGACTAGTATAACCTTGACTTGAAAATCACAAAAGGATTATATGAAAAAGGGAAAATACAAAGCAATGTTTCTCAAACTTGGGCTCAAGAAGCCTAATACAAATATTAGCAAACTGAATCTAGCATTAGGACCTATTTTAGAAATTCAAGGTTGATTTATATGAGATAATTGATTAGTAGAAGGTACCACATTAACAAATTAAAGAAAAAGGTATGATTTTAATAAGTGTAGAATATCCAACAGTTTTTCATGACTTTTTTAAAACCAGAATTAGAAGAGAATTTCCCTGACCTAGTAAAGGGCACTTACAAAACAAGACTCTAGAGAAGCATTATGATCAAACGGAAAATGTTGATATCCTTTCCTGTAAGATCAGGAAGCTAAAAAACAATGTTTACTATCTCTGGGGATCCTAGTCAGCAAAGCAGGACAAGAGAAAAGACATCCCAGACTGTAGGGAAAGCAGAAACATATGGAAGAAAGAGTCAGGCAGATTCTTGGGAGCCACTCCAAAGAGGCACCAAGACATTACCAGGATGCAAAAACATAATTGAAAATGTAGCCAGAGGGAAAATAAGTTACACATTTACTAGAACTCTTCTCCGTGAAGTTACCCTGAGTAGGTTGAACATATACTTAGATAAACCATTTAGAATTGAGAGAAGCAGCTAAGGGGCCTGCATAAGAAACACAATGGTCACTAAAGTGCTTCTAATGGGAGCAGGACACAGTAACCACGAGGATCATGCTCTGCTGAGAGAGGTGTAAATGTGACCAGCAGTGGAATTATCTTGGACAATATAAGACAGGCTGGGCCACTAAGAATCAAAACTTACAGTTCTATCATTCCAAATGGTAGTGCTTGGTACTTTCTCTAGATAAATGTTTAAAAATAACTCACTGAGAGCAAATCATTAGCCTGCCCAGGGGGCACTCATGCATTTAGTGTGGTTTCTGTGACAGAAACAGAGTAATGAGAAAGCATGCCTGGAAGGCTGTCGAGGAAGATGACAGGAGTGAGGCAGGAAGTGCTGACAAGATGAGAACTGAGATTGAGAGATATCACCCAATAAGCCACACGAAGGATGAACTGGAAAGAATGGAAAAGAAGATAGCAGGGAGGAATTCTAGCACGTAGCTCAGCCACAGCAAAGGAAAGAAAAAGAAGGAACTAATAATGTAAAAGGTCTTTACATTTATTCTATTCCCAGATTTTTTGACTAGGAACATTTTTATTATCCTACTGAATTTTACCATTTTTTTTCTACAGGCTAAATGGTATGTTCATATAGTTTATTTAAGATGTCACTATTTAGAACTTACAAAGTTTTTCTCTATCTTTAAAAATGAGACACAGAGTAGAGGACTATGCTAAAGTTTTGCAAACAAGCAAGATACCTCTTTTGTTTTCTTTCCAGTAAGGTGATGATCTCTTTTGTAATTTACTGCATTTCCACTTGGTTTACTGTTTTTGATAGCAAATTTTTACCTAGTGAGATATAACCAAAGTCTTGTGAAAAATTCAGCATCATTTAAAGTGTCTTTATTTTTACTCCAGATGGCTCACCTACCTACACAGTGTTGAAAGGGGAACTGCCAAGGCTACTCTAAAGATGGCGATGAGAGAAAGTGTGATGGAACGAGCTGTCTTCTTCCCAGAGGACTGTGCCTGAAGACACCACCTTTACATTCTCCCCCAATCAATTCCCAAGAAGCCCTTCAGTGCCAAATCTAACCCTATACAGGTGGAGAATTCTGGTGCAGATACCAGAAAGATCACCCAGACACGGGGGAGGAAAAAGAAGTAAAGATAATGGGATCCATAAAAAGGGACCTCCCTGAGTGCTTTAGTGAACCACTGGTTCAGGACCCTCCTTCTTGCTCTCAAGAAGCCTCTCCTTTTGCTTTGCAATACAGACTTTCTTTGTCCTGCTACTTTCTGGTCCCCCATCTTTTAATTCTTTAAGAGACAGAAGGAAAACAGACCCACCACAGTTGCTAGGCGGCATCAGTGTCAGCAGAATAAGTTATTATTAAGATACGCAATGTAGGTGACAGGCCTAAAGAAGTCTTACCTCTTGATTGGCTGTATTCAGTTTGTCTCCTAGTACTTCCTTCACATTTTCTAGCTCTAGTTGAAGCTGGTTTCTGTCTTCTTCCATATTTAGTTTCTCCTTTTTATATTGTTCCTCCAATTCCTTGAAAAAAGATATTTAAAAAATTAACAAGATTGTAAATATCATACAGTTTGAAAACTGCAAGAAAAAGACTATTCTGTTTTGTATTTTCCTATTTTACTCTTCAAACTAGCTTTACTCTTAAATAGTATGAGTTAACAGTAATTCTATTTAATTCTAGTGGCTTATATTCCATAATTCTGAATCACTTATGATGATGTAGCCATTATTTTTTTTAAATCATGAGTATACATTACTGGTCTAGATCAAGCTACAGTCAAAAGCCAGAAGAGTGTGACATAAAATGGTAACTTGTGAGATAAAGAGATTCAATTTTCTTGAATTCAGATTTTTTTTTTATATTCGCACACACACACACATAAAAAAACCCAAAATCTAGCTAACATTTCTGGAACTCAGAATATACTAGAGAATACACAAGTACAAACTTAAGGCAAATGAGCAGCAAAACTAGTGAAACAGATACTTGCTGAAGACCACTTACTATTTACTAACATGCTACTCAACACTAGGACTTATAATCAAGATGAACTAGGACCTTTTTTTTTTTTGAGGTGCTGGGGACTGAATCTAGGGCTTTGTACATGCTAGGCAAGTGCTCTACCACCAAGCCACATTCCTCCTTTTGTTTTGATTTTCTTTTTGACACAGAATCTCACTGCTACCTTTGTCCAGGCTGATTTCAAACTCACAATCCTCCTGCCTCTATTTCTTGAGTAGCTGGGATTACCACCTTGCCCAGCTAGGACTTAAAACTTAATATAGAGAGATAAAACCTAAAAGCAGGGCACCTGTAACTTAAATGTTCCAATAAATAAAATTAGAAGGCTAACATGAAAATAGATACAGAACGAAAAACAGTAACAAAAGATAGCTAGGAAAGAAATTACCCTGCAGCACTTTACGACATAACCCTGAGCCCTGGTCCACACATTCAGAGTCACCAAGCATGCACACACACACCACCTAGGAAAGTGGCACAAGCTGGTCCTGGAACAGTGAGCTGGCACAGAGAAAACTGCCAGGAAAGTTCCCAAGAACTCTGTGCCCAGTTTTTTTTTTCTTTCTTTTCTTTTTTTTTTTAATGGGGACTGGTTGCATAGGCACCTTCTTCCTGGTAAATACCAAAATTCCAGACTCCCAATAGGAAAGCAGGTATCTTACTATCTTGAGAAATAATGTGTCATTAATTTTTGTTTCTGGCTACATGAACACATCACATACTCTGCTTTTCCTAATGTGCAAGACTGTTTGTTGTGTAGTACAGTTAACACACTGGTTATTTAACTGAGGAAGAAAACACATACACATATACATATACATACACATACACACCACACAATTTTCCCAGGGAATGAAACTATCTGCAACAAAAAAATGCTTTAACAATCTGAGACTTCCTGAAAAGTACAGTTACTTGGTTGCATCATGAAGAGAAAGATTAACATCAAAGAGAGTTATACCTTATGAAGTAGCAATACCTTCATATCAGTTCAACACCTACGTTCCATGTCAGGAATTTGGAACCACTATTTAAAGAATAATTATAAAACAAGAGCAAATCATTCCTCCTCAACATAGGTCATGTTGGAACATTACTGAAATCTCATCAGTTTAAAATTCAATGATAAAACTGAATTTTTACTCACCACTTGCAGTTTTTTCTTATCTCTAATTGCACTGCTGTGGGCAGCCTCAATAGCCATATGGTGCTTCCAGGCCAGTTCTTCCAGAGTCTTAGAATGGGCCTCATTTAATTGATTCACCTCCCCTTCCAATCTATTTTGCAGGTTTTTTAGCTCCTTTTCATAATATTCTTTCTGAGTTCTCTTTGCTTCATTAACTTTCTTAAATTAAAACAAATAAAGATCAAGAATTGGCACCTGTTTTTTAGATGAGTGCTTGGGGATCTAGGCTTTGAATACATCAAGAATAGATCGATGATGTTCTCAGGAAGTGGCGAGGTGGATGAGGCAAAATAAAGTATTTTAAAGTAAGCAATAAAATGGACTGTCATTAGGTTGAACCAAATGTGAGTTGACAAATCAGCAAGCTTAAGAGATAAAGGCTTCCTTTATCTCAAAGTAGTACACTAAATGGCTTATCGATTAACCCACTCAAATGGTATTGTTCAATACATTTCTGAGTGCCAACCAGGTATCTTTTAAGAACTCAGAGTCTAGTGATGGGAAAAAGGTCAAGACAGTGGCAATATAGTTTACTGAGTTTTATGAAAGGGGAGTTCACCATGTATTACAAGAGCATATAGGAAAGAAGCCTAACCTGGATGGGAAAGGGTGTGTACAAGTATGAGCAGATAGAGAGAGAGAGAGAGAGAGAGAAAATATGAATTGATTAGGAAAGAGAAGACAGAGAGCTGATGATGAGCTGGTGATGACATGCTCTTCTATTTAATTCTCACAAAAGGTCCAGTAGGCAACCAGAAATGAAAAAATGTCAAACCTAGGTCTGCTGTTCAAAGCCTGCAACTCATAACCATTTCTATGTCCTTCCAGTATTTTGAAAGATGAGAAGCAGCTAACTCGGAGGCGAGGTTCAGGGAGACAGAAAGTCCATGTAGCTAATAATGTGGATAGGACATAGGATATAAGGGTGGGAATACTGAAAGATGGGACTCATAAATACGCAGAAGTCAAATGATGAGAAGGGGTCTCTCATATAATGGACTTTGACTTTTATTCTAAAGGGAAGAGAAACCAGTGAAATTTAAGTAAATGACATAATTTTAAAAAACAATTCCCTTGGCAGCAGTCTAGTGAGCTATATGAAGGCAGATCCTGCAATCTAGGATCTGTGAATGGGCATAAGAATGTATTTTTATTTCAGGGGAGAATAGAATAAAAAGACATGAATGCAGTAGAACCAACAGGACTCTAACAGATAAGGGGGATGAAGAAACAGTAATTACTGGCCAGGTGTGGTGGTGCATGCATGTAATCTCAGTAACTTGGGAGGTGAAGATTTGGAGGATTGTGGTTCAAGGCCAGCCTTGGCAAAAATTAGTGAGACCCCCCCCCCAATCTCAACAAACAAGCCAGGCATGGTGGTTCACACTAGTGACTGCATCTAAGCTGGATGTGTAGGAAGAGGCCCCAGGCCAGTGAGAAAAGGAGGTGAGGCTCAGGGTATGGCTCGAGTGCTCGAGCACCTGCTTGTCACATGTAAGGGCCCTGGGTTCAAACCCCAATGCCACCAAAAAAAAAGAAAAGAAAAGAAAAAAGAAAGAGTAATTACAAATAACTCCTGAGCTGGGAATGGGACTCAGTGGTAGAGTGCATGCCTTACATGCACAAGGCTCTGGGTTTGATTCCCTAGCACCACAAAAACTAAGTATATTATATACATATGTCATATATGTATGTGTGCATATCTACATCAATCCGTAAACTTGGTACATGCTGTAGTGTCAGAAAATAAGGAAGTGCTCATAAAAAGATGGAGCCATGTTGAAAGGATACCAGCTTGAAGGAGCTCCCAATAGCCAAATCTAGGAGAATTTAAGCAATGATTTTTTTTTTTTTCAGTACTGGGGCTTGAACCCAGGCCTTTACCTTGAATTACTCTGCCAGCCCTTTTTTTTGTGATGGGTATTTTCAAGACAGAGTCTCGCAAACTATTTGCCTGGGCTGGTTTTGAACCATGATCCTCCTGATCTCTGCCTCCTGAGTAGCTAGGATTACAGGTGTGAGCCACCAGTGCCTGGCCTTAATAGTAATGAATTTTAACCTACAGAATAAAAGACAATTCATGAGTCATATTAATATTAAATGAATGATTGAATAAATGCAAATTTCTTACAGTAGAATTCTAATTAAGGAATGATGGAAACAAAAAAAATCACAATAAAAAAGAACAACTACTATTATTGATTGAAGTAAGTAAAAAAAAATATAGAATTTTTAAGAGGAGAAAGTTCTATCCATGTTAATTTGCCATTTTTGTGAAAACCATAAATGGAGATATTAAGTAGAAAGTTAGATACATGACTCAAGTTAAGGGAAAAGATCTGGTCTGGACCTATGGATAACAAATCCCAGAACAAGTGACACTTATGTCACTGAAATGGATGAATGTGAGGAATGAAATGACAATCCTGGGGACATCAATCGTAAAGGAACAGATGCAGGTAGGAAATTTCCAAGACTGTAACACCAAGGAGGTAGGGGGGAAACATGAGAGAATATGAAATACCAAGAGAAGGGAAACACTTAAACCAGTGGGTAGTATGTGGACAGTAAGGTAAGATTCACCATGGTCAGCAACTAGTATGTCCCAGGGGAGCTGAAGTAAATGCAAATTCGGTGTCTGTAAGAGAATAGTGCCCCAGGTTAAGGAGTGAATTAGACTGAGCAAGGAGCAAGGGGAATAGACATTTTTAAATACATTTGGTTATTGAGCAAAGGAGAAAGGAAAAAAATGACCAAAACTCATACTTGGTTTTGTGAGCAAATTGATATTATGGTATTGTATAAAAAGACAGAATGAATGTTCAGTAATTACTCTATAAATAATACCTTATTAGTTCAATCTAGAAATACGATGTGTTGGCATATGAATTTTTACAACTTGATATTTGTCATCCTTTTCAGTTTTGTAAAAATTACCTGGGAATATATGCAATGATATATTTCATTAATAGAAAAATAAATGATCAGTTAATATAATAATATGCATATTCTGTTTCTGGTTTGAAATAGACTGAAATGTCTTAAGTTTTTATATTATGGATTGATTACTACCCGATTATTTTGAATATAAAAAATAGGATAGTCTAGTTTATATCCTTTTTCCTTGAAATCAAACTTAAAACAACTACTAGAGGAAGAAATATATTGTTACTGTGAAGCAGGAATAAGCACTCCAGAAACTTCACATTTAAAAAAGAGGAAAACTGAACCTTTCTTCTCTTCCTTTTTGTGTGTGGTGGCCCTTCATTTTTACCTTCTCAAGTTCCAGAATCTGCTGCTTCTGCTCTTCATCCAGACTTTGAGTTCTGCTTTGCAGAAAAGCTCTTTCCTCTTCAAGCTGAGATAATTTCTCATTGGCCTTTGATTTTTCTGATTCTAAATCTTTAATAGTAACCTCCTGGGTCATTTGAGTTGCCTGAAGCATTCCAATATGACCTACCCACCCCCCAAAAGAGAAAATCTCTTTAATTTATAAATTGGTTGCCCTGTGACATAAAAGTTTTTATTTAATGACATAATTGTACTGTATATTTAAGCAAGGTAAATGTACCAGGTGAAAATTTGTACATGTACAAATTTTCCTAACTTTTAAAATGGACATATTTACTATGGGAATACTTCTTACTCAATTAGGATGTCCTTTTTCTTATAACTGATGTCCCTGCACTTAACACTATTTCACATTGGGAATAAAAAGATCGGAACTACAGAAATTGAAATGGAAGCAACTCCTCAGTGTTTCATGTCAAAGGTGGAAAAAGAGAGATGAAATGCAGAGTGTGAGAACAGGGTCACACAGAAAGCAGTGGTTCTCAAAGTAACCTAGACAAGCAGCACCAGGGTCACCTGGGAACTCTAGTTAGAAACAGCTCACACAGACTCAGTAAGTCAAAACTCTGAGGATAGGCTCAAGCATCTGTGGTTTCATAAAACCTCCAAAACAAAATTAGATGAGGTCCTCAACAGCTTAACTGGGCACGTGAAACACTCTTACAAAAGATAACTTCAGATTTGACCGGGGTCAGCCACCTCCTCTACTAAGGGCTACGCAAAGGAGCACATCAGCCACTTTAGAATGCCCATCTCAGCTTTAGGATGCAGATTGACCTTGGTAACAGGAACTGCTACCCATGAAATGAGGCACTGTAAGTTACACACAGTTCACTAATTTAAAAATGATCCAATATGTTTTTAAAAGGCAAAGCCTCTTAGAAAAAGTGCTTCATCTTGCTTTTACTAACTGATTTGTGGTTTTACCTGCTAATTCTTAATTTTTCTATAAAAATATATTCCCAAAATAAGTCATTTACTTATCTTAATTAGTAAGATATTCAAGTTCTTTAACACATTTAGAGTCCAAATAATTTTAAAATATTAGAAGAAATTTTAAATATTAAATTAGAAGAAATTTTGTCTTGAATGAAATAATGAAGTATTGGTTTTAGCTGAGCATTACACCAAAGTATGGGCAGACATACTAGCTTTGAGGACAAGATCTGAAGCTTGCTGTTGTAAACGTTCTCTGGCAGCTGCTAGCTCACTTTCCACTTCTTTGTGCTTGCTTAATAAGGCCATTTCTCCCTCTTTGGCATCATCAAGCTGTTTTTGAAGAACCTAGGAAAGATTAAATAGCCATAATCAAAATGCAAGAATGATACTAAGCTAAATGGTTTATTGAAATTATAAGCATCAGCTTTCTCTTATGGAGAAGTCCTACCTATCTCTGGTGTTGGATCTGAAAGTGGTGGTGACACAACTTGGTAGTTTCACAAGTCACACGATCCAGTCAGGAAAGACCATTCTACCCTTCTAATGCATCGCAATGCTACATAGTTATTAAAAATACAGCTATGAATTTCCTATGCCAATAAAACAAAACTTGTAGAGGCTTTTAGCTCTTTTTCCCACACTTGCGTCGTACCTTTATTAAATTCAGATTTTAAAAGCAATCAGTGTCAATGTCTAAATGTCAACTAATGGGTAGACCATTATCAATGAAGAAAAAACATAATTAAACCTAATATCAACATTTTAACTTTCCCAAACCATTCATGGAAAATACTAACAAGTTATTTAACTAAAATCCTTTCATAAGTAATCAGCAAGGTTTTACATTTATCTTTTGGGGCCCTTGATAACTGAAATTCTGACAGAATAGATCTAGGAGAATACAAATTATCCCTTCATTGATTTTTGTCACAAAGGAAAAGGTAAAAATGAAAAGAAAAAGTTTAAGTGGTGTGAATGAAAAGAAGCTGATCCTAAGCCAGCTGGGCTGCTCTCAGTCAACAGAAGGACAATTCTGGAAGGAAATCCCACTGTTGAATGCCCTGCTCTTGACTCACCTGCACATTGCTCTCTGCTGTGGCAAGTGCCATCTGCAGCTTTTGGCATTTGTCAAGAAGACTGCTGGCTTCATCCTGCACCATCTGTAACTCAGTCTTTAATTTCCCTATGGTTTTTCGTAAAATTGCTTCTTGTCCCTGGAATTCTTTTCGAAGATCAGCTTCCTTCTCTTTGCTAGCCTGCAGGCTTTCAGCTGTGAAAACCTGTGACCTTTTCAAGTTATCAAGCTCCCGCTCATAAAAAGACTGTGCTTTATTCAACTTGCCTTCATATTCCTCGACGAGTTTTTTCTTTTCAAGTCTTAGCTCTTCAAGTGTTTTGTTTAAAGCCTCCAGCTCCATCCTGTGCAGCTCCTCTGCCTTGTCCTGCCCTTTACTCACAGAGGCACTGTGATCCTGCTGTGACTTCAGCAGCTCTTGCACCTCTCGTCTGTGAGCAGTTCGCAAACCTTCCAATGCCAACCGTTTGTCTTTTTCAAACTGCACTTGGAACTGTCCAAAGCTCCGCAACCGCTCTTCAAATCTCCTTCTAATCTCTTCCACCTCTCTAGACATGGTTACCACGCGTTGGACATGCTGGGCTTCTGCACAGAGCTGCATGTCCTCGACTCTGTGCTTGTAAGCTTCAAATTCAGTCAAAGCCTGCTGCTTCATTTTTATGTGATCTTCTAGGGATGCTTCTAAAACTTGAATCTTCCTTCTAAGGTCTAACTCCTCTGTCACTTTGCTCTTATATTGCAGTATTTTTTCTCTTGTTTCTGCAAGAATTTGTTGGACTTCTTCTTCATGAGCATCTTTGAGGGCTTGAATTGCAGATTCGTGCTCATCATTTTTAGTGTTCAAAGCATATATTACCTGCATGGTTTTGAAGAAGGGAGATGAGTTGAATAAGCCACATTCTTTTACGTGAAGTTAATTCTTTCTTTGTATTGATATTTTTCAATATACATAATATTGGTTATAATAAATATTAAATAGTGACAATTGTTTTTATACTCAGATTGATTTACTTAGCAAATTTCTGTCTGAGCATAAACTTTTAAATTATGATTCTAAAGCATTCAAAATTAGGTAAGCATTGTGGCACATACCTGTAATTCCAGCAGAAGACTGAGGCAAGAGGATCAAGAGTTTGATGTTGGCATGGGCTACATAACAAGCTCAAGACCTAAAAGCCTCCTTTATCTGTTTAATTTTTTTTTTTTTTGGTGGGACAAGGGATTAAGCTCAGGGTTTAGCACTTGCAAAGCAGGCACTCTACTTCTAGCCCATTTTGCTCTGGTTATTTTGGAGGTGGGGTCTTGTGAACTGCTTGGCCAGGCTGGCCTTAAACCACAATCCTCTGAATCTCAGCCTCCCAAGTAGCTAGGATTACAGGTCACTAGTGCCCAGTTCTGTTTAAATTTTGAAATTTTCTTTTCTAATTCCCCTACAGTTTGCTTTCTTTTTTTTAAGGGTTTAGAACTGTTTTATTTATATGAACAAAATCTGTGTTCTAGATAAAGAAATCCATGGAAATCTCTTGTACTTTAAAAAGTCCAATTCTACTCATGGAATTTAGCTCCAACTTGGACTGGTTGGTGCCCCTACAGCTTCAGAGAGGCCAAGTCCATTTCCCTACACCCTGTGCTTCAGAGCATCCCATGGGCATCAAGAGGCTTTTTTTCACAAGGGCTGGAGTCTAATCCTACTATGTCGGCTCAGCTCTTTGAACACCCACATCTCCTTGGCACATCTTCACCAAGGGCCAGTGCAGAGCCCATGGTTTGCTTTTAAAGCTGATCCTCTTCCCTCTAAAGTTTCTAGTAGTCCCCTCCAAATCCTAATTAGCACTTTTCTCCTCACATACCAAATGCTGAGGTTTTACTCACTACCTAATTTTCCTACTGCCTTAATACAAGTCCTATTCCTAGAACCACAGTGCTCTGCTGGGACAAGGTCTTTATTTTTATTTTACTCCTTGGATTTTTCAACCTTAATTTCACACAAGATTGTTCCCTGTACAGTAGCACTCTCATTCTTCCTATTTGTTCCTTGGATGCCTTCCATGAAACCACTATGGTCCAACAGTGTGATATCTATGACTGTTATTTAAAGCTTAGAGATGTGCCCAACTTTCTTTTTACTGAAGTGAAATGAAGTAGACACAATACAACCCAATAATCAAGAAGCTAAAACTCGATGTGCCAGAGAGCTGCTCATCTTAATATTATCTTATCCTGGCTTTAGAAGTGAATTCTAGCACTAGACACCAGAAACTAGTCAAACAATTAGAATACTGCAATTTTTTGTAGAGAACAACATGCAGCCTGGGGCAAGCGAGGCAGACTAGCTGGTTCTCCAAATATCCCTGGTAACTCCAGACCCTATTTGCTAAATATAAGCAGTCATCATCTTGTTCCGCAGCTACACTTGCAGAAGAAACAATACATGGGAAGCTGGCCTTACTGCAGAGGTTTCACACTCCACACAACTTTCCTCAGACCAATCACCCTGTCAATATACTCACCTGGTAACTATTCTGAGGTGTAATCATTAGAGGTAAAAAGACTGAGAGTTGGCAGGAACACTTCTGGTTTTTTTCACAACTACCTTCTGCCTGGATGTTCCATAGGAAAATATGCACATAAACTGGAAATAAGTGCTTTTTAAGTGTGTGTTTTTCAAGAACCCTAGTCCACATCCCAAATTATGTCCCTAACACAGATCCCATCAAAGACTCCTTTCATCTATACATTTAAGCTTAAAGATAGACTACTACCCAAAAAAAGCTGAGTGGCTTGCTATTCCTATACTCTGTGATCATACATGCCTACCCAGTCAATACCCAGAAGAAATTATATACTGTGATATTATAAGAAATATACATTTGGTCTCTGCCCTTATTTCCTGACACAGAGCTCTTAAGACCTTTATAATTTTCTAAGTGGTAAGATTATTTGACAAAGACTTCCGAATTCTCTTGAAATTTCCTGGATGATAGAAGAAGATTCTTCTAATGAGGTAACTTTGATGGACTCCAGGATAGCTTCAGGATGGGAGCTGGCTGCCAGAGGAATAACAATATGACTACAGGATTGGAATTTTCAATCCCATTTCAACTCCCTGCCTGACCTTCAAGGAAGGGAGAAAGAACTGAAGGCTGAGTTGATCAGCAAAGGCCAATGATTTAATCAATCATACCTACAAAATGAAGTTTTCATAAAAGTAAGGGGTTTGGAGAGCTTCCAGATTACTGAACACGTGGAGGCATTGGGAAGGTGGTGTGCAAAGGAAGGCTATGGAAGCTCTATACCCCTTCCCGTAGACCTTGCCTATGGCATCTCTTCTATATGGTTGTTCATTGGTATCCTTTGTAGTATCCTTTTAAAAAAATGGGAAAATGTGTTTCTCTGAGTTCTGTGAGTGATCCTAGCACATTAATTCAACACAGGAGGGGGTGATGAGAACCCAAGACTATCACTGGTTGGTGAAGAACAGGTCACAATCTGGGGCTTTACAAATGGCATCGGAACTGGGAACTAAGTGCTCAACCTTTGGGATCTAACACTATCAAGACCATTCTCAGAAAACCTAGAGCAAAGCTGGTATAGACCACAGGCCTCAGGCATTCCTAGGGCAAGTTTGTTGCCATCCCCACTTTATCTTACTAACCACATGAAAAGAAATCAAAATTCAAAGGAACTCCTAAGAGAGAACCAAGTCACATCTTTAATAGTTTGCACTAGGAAAAGGACCATTCCATGGTGGGATTTTCTATTTTGGGGATGAAAAGAGAAAGGGAAGCAATATGTGAGCTTCCCCTGTCAGTGTTTTATTGAAATAATCTTACTTCTAATATTTAATTTCCCTTCAGTCTTTAAAGAGCCAGCTGAAGTCCTGCCTGCTTTCTTTATTAAGTCTTCCACAGCCACTATTGGTGGGACTATCTTTTCTTAATATCCAGCACCTCCATCACTGACCATCGTTCTCTCTTGAAACCCAGTAAATATTTGATTAGTCACATTGATGGAGTATTGACAACAAGGTTGGAAAGATGCATGAGGATGTTAGAGAACCCAGAAAAGAAGCTAAATATATAAAACCACTGTGGCATTCAAAAAAGTTAATAAACAATTATGATATATTATAAGAACTTTGGTCAATGTCCCCCCAGTGCAACAATAAAAAAAATTTTATAAAAAGGGGGAATTTAAAGGGGAGAGAAGAAGTAATTAACACAATGAGTTAGAAAGAATAGGACTACAACTATACAAAATGTGACAAATAATAGAAAAATATTAGAGAGGAGCTTTATTTCACTTTAAATTCTAATCTGGTAGTCAGCAAAGTACAATTTGACAGTGAACTATGGCTACTGCTTCTCTTTGTAAACAACAATGTCCATTTGTTTATGTCCATAACATAACTGTAGAGCATAACTATGTTCACTGCTCTCTCACTTCAACAGCACAGATGAGAAGTTGTGGAAAAGACCACTATCTATTTGTATTCTAATTTACACAGGAAAGGCATAGTCAACAAAATTGGAATCAAAAATAAAAAAGAGCTGAATTTTTACTAGCTTGTTGGCCATCTACAAAATAATCTATAGTGATCTATGTGATTCTGAAATTATATGATTCTGGACTGGCTTGAAGCCCCCAAAATTCTGTGATTCTGAAAGTATATTACATAAAATTATGTGATTCTGAAAGTATATTACATAAAAGAAGCATATATTCATACTGACCATATATTGGCATCTTACAGGGAAAGTAATATATTAAAATGCAATTCCAAAAACTTTAAAAGGATACTAAGCATAATAAATTTATATTGCTCTCATAAGTGACCATTTAAAGTTACGTTATTTCTAAATGAGAATGCTAAGTATGAATTTTCAAGTTGAGATTACTAGATATAGTATTTGCCAATAGTTCATTTTTAGCATAATTATAAAGGTTACCATTTATTAGCATCTTTTTTGATTAATTACCATTTCTTTAAAAATCCCCATGTTCTTTGAACACAAAGATATGACTTGATGTAGCAGAACTGACCCCGACTGGATTTTTGACTTTAAGTGGACTCAAGTTTCTCAAATATTAACTAGATATATTCCATCTTAGTGACGTTGTTATAACATCAAATTTTAATCACATTATACAACTACTTTTTGAGTAGTATGAAGCACTAAAATGTGGTAAGTCCTCGATATAGACTGTATCAGTTACCTGTGGAGACTATAAGACCGATTTGCACAACTTCAGAGTGAGAGTTATAATCATCTAAAAACTAGCTACTGCTCTCCAAACAAGAAAAGAAAACTCACTAAAGACTCTTTTCATAAGATTTTTAAAAGACATAATGAGACATTTCCTTTTAGGCTAATGCACAATTTGACAACATATTTTATGATGAATAAATGGTAGTAATTTTACTTTTTCTATGAAGATTTTCAGATAATATTTCCCACAGAAAAAATAAAACAATTCTAGAATATACTTTTTATATTGCAACTTAGGTAAAAACAAGTAGTACTAAAAACTCTTTTCATTATTGGCTACTACGGACTGAATTTCATTCCTCCAAAATTCATATGTTAAAGCTCCATACCTAGACAGACAGTAGTTGGGAGGTAATTAGGTTTAGATGCTACCAACAGGGCAGGGCCTTATAAGGGCTTACCATATGAAGACACATCAAGATAGGAGACACGCAAGCCAAGAAGAGAGTCCTCACTGGGAACCAAAGTGGCTGGCATCATGATTTTGGATTTCCCAGTTTCTAGACTGTGTGAAATAAATTCTTGTTGTTTAAGACACAAGTCTACAGCATTTGATTCTGGCGGCCTGAGATGGCAAATACACTAG